GATGGATGATGGATGGACGGACGGACGGATGGATGATGGATGGACGGATGGATGATGGATGGACGGATGGATGATGGATGGATGGACGGACGGACGGATGGATGATGGATGGACGGATGGATGATGGATGGACGGATGGATGATGGATGGACGGATGGATGATGGATGGATGGACGGACGGACGGATGGATGATGGATGGATGGACGGACGGACGGACGGACGGATGGATGATGGATGGATGGATGGATGATGATGAGGATGATGATGATGGATGATGATGTCACTCTGCCACTAACGGTGCGTAGAATCGCGCCCCTCAGCCATAGAATCACCTTTTAACGTTTGGTGTCCAATCATCAGGCGTAGTCTGTCCTCGTCATTGGTCAGGCGTTGCCATGGCATCTGTTCCCATGGCATCTGTTCCCATGGCATCTGTTCCCATGGCAGCTGTTCCCATGGCATCTGTTCCCATGGCATCTGTTCCCATGGCATCTGTTCCCATGGCAGCTGTTCCCATGGCATCTGTTCCCATGGCATCTGTTCCCATGGCATCTGTTCCCATGGCAGCTGTTCCCATGGCAGCTGTTCCCATGGCAGCTGTTCCCATGGCAGCTGTTCCCATGGCAGCTGTTCCCATGGCATCTGTTCCCATGGCATCTGTTCCCACCCATCCTCACAGCTGTTGTTTCCCTTTTAGGGTTTTCCACGTTTCCCAGATGGTTGGAAGTCCTTCAGCAGCTGGTGGGCTCCAGCCGGGTACGTGTCCCGCCTTATTGCGCTCTGGAAGTTGTGGATCTGGAGTTAATGTTAACCTTTGATACGTTTCAGGCGTTAGACTTCAGGACGGAGGAGGACGCCAAACACGAGGTGATGCTGCGGCTCTTCACCGCCGTTCTCTATGGACTGACTAACGGCTACGTTTTAAGGAACAGCGCGCATTTAAAGTCCAGCTCTTTCCTTAGAGCGGCAGCCAGAAGCGTTCGCCATTTCATCCTGATGCCCCCCATCCATGAGGCCCTTCAGACGCTGACCTCTGATGGGCAGCACCTGCTGGCGCTGTTGGAGAAGAACATCAGGAGCGTCCATGTCAGCAGCCTGTGTCTGACGGACAGGAGAACCCAGGCAGCGCTGTACGTCCTCCACCGCCTGCTGGACCACGGCCTCTCTACCCACCTGATGCTGAGCGTCCACTGTCCGCTGGGGTTGGCCTGGCTCCTGCAGGGACGCGGATCCCGGTACGTGGACCCGGAGCTGGAACAACGCATGTGCTGCGGTGGTTCTGCCAAGGCAGACCGGATCCACGAGGGTCCAGGTGCTGAACCCACAGATTCAGACGCTCAGAGGGATCCCGTCTCTCCATGCAAGCGAGCCAAGATGGAGGAGGACCAAGCTCCAGCGCCCAGCTTTGATGTCAGCCCTCAGCTTCTCTGCCGGACCTTCAGTCCATGTGACGCCGCCTCAGCCGGAGCGTGTCCGTTTGGACGCATCACCCGTCTGGAGATCAGAAGCTGCGGACGGGATTCTCTCAGGGTCCTGAGTTTCTACCTGCCCACGTTTTTCTGCCTTCAGTCGTTAACTCTTCACAGCACAGGTACGTTTAGCTGGAGCTCCTTTCCAGCTTCACCTGTCAGACGTTCAGCAAAGAGACGCCCTTTAGACGTAGAGCGGAGGATTTTCACAAATTTTCACTTTAAAAAAAATGTACATGCACAACCCTGTACCTGCTCCTACAGGGAATCCCTATTAAACGCGTGTGAGGGCGTGCACGAGCCCATTTCTCCTCGTGCACGAGCCCATTTCTCCTCGTGCACGAGCCCATTTCTCCTCGTGCACGAGCCCATTTCTCCTCGTGCACGAGCCCATTTCTCCTCGTGCACGAGCCCATTTCTCCTCGTGCACGAGCCAATTTCTCCTCGTGCACGAGCCCATTTCTCCTCGTGCACGAGCCCATTTCTCCTCGTGCACGAGCCAATTTCTCCTCGTGCCCGAGCCCATTTCTCCTCGTGCCCGAGCCCATTTCTCCTCGTGCCCGAGCCCATTTCTCCTCGTGCACGAGCCCATATCTCCTCGTGCATGAGCCCATTTCTCCTCGTGCACGAGCAGACATTTCTCCTCGTGCACGAGCCCATTTCTCCTCGTGCACGAGCGCATTTCTCCTCGTGCACGAGCCCATTTCTCCTCGTGCACGAGCCCATTTCTCCTCGTGCATGAGCCCATATCTCCTCGTGCATGAGCCCATATCTCCTCGTGCATGAGCCCATATCTCCTCGTGCATGAGCCCATTTCTCCTCGTGCATGAGCCCATTTCTCCTCGTGCACGAGCCCATTTCTCCTCGTGCACGAGCCCATTTCTCCTCGTGCACGAGCCAATTTCTCCTCGTGCCCGAGCCCATTTCTCCTCGTGCACGAGCCCATTTCTCCTCGTGCACGAGCCCATTTCTCCTCGTGCACGAGCCCATTTCTCCTCGTGCACGAGCCCATTTCTCCTCGTGCATGAGCCCATTTCTCCTCGTGCATGAGCCCATATCTCCTCGTGCATGAGCCCATATCTCCTCGTGCATGAGCCCATATCTCCTCGTGCACGAGCCCATTTCTCCTCGTGCACGAGCCCATTTCTCCTCGTGCACGAGCCCATATCTCCTCGTGCATGAGCCCATATCTCCTCGTGCATGAGCCCATATCTCCTCGTGCATGAGCCCATATCTCCTCGTGCATGAGCCCATTTCTCCTCGTGCATGAGCCCATTTCTCCTCGTGCATGAGCCCATATCTCCTCGTGCATGAGCCCATATCTCCTCGTGCATGAGCCCATATCTCCTCGTGCATGAGCCCATATCTCCTCGTGCATGAGCCCATATCTCCTCGTGCATGAGCCCATTTCTCCTCGTGCACGAGCCCATTTCTCCTCGTGCACGAGCCCATATCTCCTCGTGCATGAGCCCATTTCTCCTCGTGCACGAGCCCATTTCTCCTCGTGCATGAGCCCATATCTCCTCGTGCATGAGCCCATTTCTCCTCGTGCACGAGCCCATTTCTCCTCGTGCACGAGCCCATATCTCCTCGTGCATGAGCCCATATCTCCTCGTGCATGAGCCCATATCTCCTCGTGCATGAGCCCATATCTCCTCGTGCATGAGCCCATATCTCCTCGTGCACGAGCCCATTTCTCCTCGTGCATGAGCCCATATCTCCTCGTGCATGAGCCCATATCTCCTCGTGCACGAGCCCATTTGCCCCCCCCCCCCCCCCCTCTACCATTTTTCCTCTCTAATGCAGACGGTGCAGCAGTAATTCTCTCATTATTCTAAACATGATATTTTTTGTGGTTAATTAAAAACATTGATATTCTAACATCAAAGATGGTGGATACAGAATTCCTGCTCTTTTCTTTTTGTGTTTTATGAGGTAAAGAGAAAATGATGCGTCTCTGCAGGTCATCTAGGAGTCTGCAGGGAAATCAAAGATAACAATTTTAATAAAAACTTAGCAAATAATCAATTTATTTAAATATTAATTGTTGTTAATATAATTTGAATCCAGAATGTTTATTGACCCAAGTAGGTAAGTAATGATGATTGATTTATGCCCCAGAACTGTTTGTTAGCAAAGGCTGCAGGAAAGTAGAGTTTGTCTTTATTTAGAAAATATGGATGTTTGGCTCGTTAATGTTCCAGTTGGAACAGAGAATGACCCTGACGTTCTGGTCCCCCCCCCCTCAGTGTATATTGGTTATTGTCGGCCACCCTTATGATATCCTCTGGTTAACTGACCGTTCAGACTGATGATCACTGCTTTTCACGTAACTCCTCCTCCACCGCGTGGTGCCTGCGCCATCTTTGTTGTTATTCGCCGCTGTCGGGTAGCGACAGCCTGTGGGCTTATAGGCGACGTAATGCTTTGCGAGGAGAGGTCTCTGTGCAAAGCATTCTGGGATATATCTGCCTCCTCTGAGGCCTTTCCTTTCTTCTCCTCCACTTCTTTGAAACTTTTTCTCTTCTGACCCTCGGCCATTTTGAAAGAACCGCGGTGAGAAAGGTGAAACTGTAGCTCACAACAGATATACGCCTGAAAGAAAAAGATAGCTAACGATACGAGACCGTAGGACGGCTTTAGGTAAACATATCACCAGAATGATTGACAGTTAGGAGGACCAATGATGGAGTTGATCCATCTGGAAAAAGAACATCCTCCTCTATACCTTTAAAGGTGCTGTAGGAGATCTTGGAAAAACGGTTCCAGCAAGCTACCAAGCAGTGACAGCGCAGCGCCGGTATGTGGGGGTCTGAGCGGCTCCCACAGAGAAATAATCTTTGAAGGCAGGATGGTAATCTGGATGAACTGACTGCACAGACCATGTTTTCAGGAGGACTTTCTCACTTCAACATAGATTCTAACTACTTTCTACCCGCTGATCACAGCTAATATAGCCGCCATTGTTCCAGGCAGAGAAAGGATAGGGTAGCTCCACCCACCGCACATCAGACCCACTTTTAGAGAAGCATAGCTGCTTCAGCCGCGCGTCAGAACTAAACTAAAAGCATCATAAATGAAGCAGGACGCGCGTTTTAGCTGCTCCTGGTGCTTCAGGTGTGAACAGGGGGACCAGACGTCCTCTTTTACCCGGACATGTCCTACTTTTTAGACCTAAAAAAATGTCAAATTATAAAATGGTCTGGGATTTTGGTGGACTACAGCGCAGCAGAACCGAGCTGTGAGCTCCAGAGCTGGTCCGGGAACAGAGCGCCCGACTCGGTGACCGTAGCCTGAACAGCAGCGGCCCCGTGCTTCCCCCCGCCTGCACGGGGCCAAATACCGTCACCGGGTCGGGTTCGGGTTCCCTGCTCTGTCCCCAGCTGCCGGGGCTCTCAAACCAGCCCTGGAGCTCACAGCTCGGTTACAATGCCCGGTCCGGTCCAGTCAGCAGAACTCAGATGATCTGCCGATGGAATGAGAAGTTTTACCCTTAAATAAGATAATTAGACATTATGCACCTGAAATAATAGACTGCAGTGGCTTTTCTTATCTAAACGGTGGTTTTCTTATTTCAAAGTCTCTCCCTTATTGATTCAGTTCAAGAAAAAAATCACTTCTTTTAAGAAGAATTGACTTAACTTTCTATATTTTGCAGTGTAAGATGTTGAGAGATCCTTGATTCTCAGGGGGGGGGGGGAAGTCCCTCTGAGCGGCCCCCCTGTAGCCTTGTGTACGTCTGTGGAAGCTAAGGAAGGAAAATCAAACCATTAATGAAGGGATCTGATCTAGAATAGATTATCTAACCTCACAGGTCTGCAGAGATCAGCCTCCCTACAGACAAACAGCCCAACCTTGGACCAGCCTTTGATCCCCGCAGCTCATTGGTTGATGTGGTGGGGGGGGGGTTCTGACCCGTTTGCTCTGTGCAGCCATCTTCAGGGAGCCCCAGGTGTCGGCCTTTGCTGCTGCTCTCAAGCAGCTCTCAGACGCCTCACGCAGCGGCCTTGTTCACCTGAACGTGGGCATCCTGCCATGCATCGGACTCCTGAAGACCCTGCTGACGGCCGGCCCCCGGCTGCAGGCCCTCTGTGTGGAGTTCCAGGAGGCCCTCTGGGGCCCACAGTGTCTCCTGGATCACGCTGAGCCTCACATGGCAGGTGAGTCACCTTTACAGGAGCCTTTATTACGGAGCAGACAGTGAATCTGCTGAACACAGGGAGCAGCGGTTCTGATCCCTGCGGTTCTGACCCGTTCTCTGCAGATCTTCCTCTGGAGAAGCTGACTGTGAAAGTCAGCCAGCTGCAGACAGATGCTGACTTCCTGACCTCTGTGCTGAGGCGCTGCCCCCGCCTGACCTGGCTCCACGTGGCAGGAATCAGACTCCCCACAGGTTCCAGTCAGAGCGGGCTCCTCAGAACGCTGTCAGGTGAGCAAACTCTGGGTTTAACGCTTCCGTCAGCTTCACAGCACCGGCCTGGTCCAGTCAGTCTGTAAATGACTTTAGTCTCTGACCCAAGTTTAATCTCAGTCTAGGAAAGAACATCTAGAACACACCCAGAAGCCCTGACCTTCTGACACTTTTCTAAAACAGTTTGATTTAGAACAGAGGTCTTCAACAGGGGGTCCGCCACCCCTAGGGGAGCACAGAGGTACTGCATGGGGGTCATGAAAATTCTGGTTGATTAGACTTTTTTTTATATTCCCTCCTGCAATTTTTTCACTACTTGAAATGTCTTTAAATCCACATTAGCATAAATTTAACCGACTGTAGTAAACAGATAAATGGAGGCAGAAGATGTAATTTTTTATACACAATAGTCTAAGGTTGGTTTGACCAGTTTGGTTTAGACTAGGATCTGATCTCATGTTCCCTTTCCAGAGTATAATCGCTGTTTGAAGGTTCTGATCCTGGAGGACATCAAGCTGTGTGACTGTCTGCCTGACGTCCTGAAGCTGCTGAGAGGCTGCAGGTTGGAAGGTAAGCGGAGGCATCAGGCGGTACCGCCTGAGGGGTTCTGGCTTGCTTCTGTCTCCAAACTCCAGTGGCTCATTCTACGTTCAGACCGCAGCTAGAAGCAGCTAGTCTACATGTAAAGTCAATGGTTGACGCGCATCAAGGTGCAGCAACAGGTCCTGCAGCGTCTATAGCAGCAGGAGCAGCGACTCACCAGCATCTGAGGTGCAGGACGCTCTTCTCAAGCAGCAGCTGCTGGAGTTGGAAAAATGTAACTTTAGCTGCTGGACACGCTTCATCAACCAATGACCACTGACTGCACAGACCATGTTTTCAGGAGGACTTTCTCACTTCAACATAGATTCTAACTACTTTCTACCCGCTGATCACAGCTAATATAGCAAAGCTGCTCTCTGGCATCGAACACAGGAGCAGCAGAAGCATCTGGAGAAACTTTACTGGACGTCTGACCTTAATAAGGATCAGAGATGAAGCAGCAGAAGCTGCTTTGATGCTCAAAGCGCTTCCGGTCTGAACATCAGAAATCACTCAGTCCAGGGTTCGGACTCACTGAAGCTCTGCTTCCTCGTCTCAGAGCTGCGCCTCACTGACTGTCGTCTTCTGGAGAAGTGTGGAGACCCAGGAGGAAGCCTTGTAGAGCTGGTGTCGGCGCTGAAGATCCCGTCCCTCCATAGCCTGGGTCTGGCCCAGAACCGACTGGGTAAGAACCCTCAGCGTCTTTCACCCACAGGCTGCAGTAACTGGCTCCAACACGTTAACGGCTAGGCAATGAAAAGTTCAACCAGGAAACAGAATCAGTCTGGTTTAGACCAGTCTATGTTCTGATCTCCCAGATCAATGCATTTTTTGCACCATGTTTTTTCTCCCACACTGTTCACATTTAATAACTGCTGCACTTTAAGGGATGGAAAAGTTCATTTCACTGTTTGAGAAGCTGCACTAATTAAATTTTTTATACACTGGAAAAATGACAATAAAATTTGTCTAAGTTTGGTTTAGTCCAGTTTGGTTTAATCCAGTTTGGTTTAATCTAGTTTGGTTTAATCTAGTTTGGTTTAATCCAGTTTGGTTTAGTCCAGTTTGGTTTAATCCAGTTTGGTTTAATCTAGTTTGGTTTAGTCCAGTTTGGTTTAGTCCAGTTTGGTTTAATCCAGTTTGGTTTAATCTAGTTTGGTTTAGTCCAGTTTGGTTTAATCCAGTTTGGTTTAATCCAGTTTGGTTTAATCCAGTTTGGTTTAGTCCAGTTTGGTTTAATCTAGTTTGGTTTAGTCCAGTTTGGTTTAATCCAGTTTGGTTTAATCCAGTTTGGTTTAATCCAGTTTGGTTTAGTCCAGTTTGGTTTAGTCCAGTTTGGTTTAATCTAGTTTGGTTTAGTCCAGTTTGGTTTAGTCCAGTTTGGTTTAATCTAGTTTGGTTTAATCTAGTTTGGTTTAATCCAGTTTGGTTTAGTCCAGTGTGGTTTAATCTAGTTTGGTTGAGTCCAGTTTGGTTTAGTCCAGTTTGGTTTAATCTAGTTTGGTTTAGTCCAGTTTTGTTTAATCTAGTTTGGTTTAGTCCAGTTTGGTTTAATCTAGTTTGGTTTAATCCAGTTTGGTTTAGTCCAGTGTGGTTTAATCTAGTTTGGTTTAATCCAGTTTGGTTTAGTCCAGTGTGGTTTAATCTAGTTTGGTTGAGTCCAGTTTGGTTTAGTCCAGTTTGGTTTAATCTAGTTTGGTTTAGTCCAGTTTTGTTTAATCTAGTTTGGTTTAGTCCAGTTTGGTTTAGTCCATTTTGGTTTAATCCAGTTTGGTTTAATCTAGTTTGGTTTAATCTAGTTTGGTTTAGTCCAGTTTGGTTTAATCCAGTTTGGTTTAGTCCAGTTTGGTTTAGTCCAGTTTGGTTTAGTCCAGTTTGGTTTAATCTAGTTTGGTTTAGTCCAGTTTGGTTTAGTCCAGTTTGGTTTAATCTAGTTTGGTTTAGTCCAGTTTGGTTTAATCTAGTTTGGTTTAATCCAGTTTGGTTTAGTCCAGTGTGGTTTAATCTAGTTTGGTTTAATCCAGTTTGGTTTAATCCAGTTTGGTTTAATCCAGTTTGGTTTAATCTAGTTTGGTTTAGTACAGTTTGGTTTAATCCAATTTGGTTTAGTCCAGTTTGGTTTAGTCCAGTTTGGTTTAGTCCAGTTTGGTTTAGCCCAGTTTGGTTTAATCTAGTTTGGTTTAATCCAGTTTGGTTTAGTCCAATTTGGTTTAGTCTAGTTTGGTTTAGTCTAGTTTGGTTAGACCAGTTTAATCTAAATTATTTAAGCTTGAACTAATAAAAATTAATATAAGAGTAAATCTTGTCCTCCATTGGCAGATCATCTTATTTCGCTTCTCAGATTTTAGGATTTCTGGACCTCAGTTTGGATCCGTTTTGGGAATCTTTCCCAATCCACAGCATTTCCAGTCTTCTGTAGAAGATTAAATCCTTCCAGCTTTCTGTTAAACATTTCAGCTGTTTATTGAAACTATAAGAACCATCAGGGAGTTTAGTCTGAGTGACGAGTTGAACCAGGAGCAGAGATGAGATCTAATGGGAAACTGAAGCAGCTTTAAGATGAGCAGCTTTATAGCAGCAGATGGTTATAAAGTTATCAGTTAAATCTGGGCGTCGGTCGGTCAGACCAACCTTCTCTGTTTAACGGATTTTCACAGCATGGATTTGTTCTTGTTCCACAGCTAAGAATGTGTGCGAGCTGGCAGAGCTGTTCTGTGGAGCGTCCCAGAGCTCACTGAGGCTGCTGGACATCAGGTGAGGTTTCCATCAGATAGGAGACAGAACCTGCTCTGAATCAGTAGCTTCATGGTTCATTAGCGCCCAGCGCCGCGCTGCCGCGCGCCGCGCTGCCGAGCGCCGCGCTGCCGAGCGCCGCGCTGCCGAGCGCCGCACTGCCGAGCACTCTTTTATTTATAGAGTTTATTATTTTTTCTCATTTTTTCGTGGCTTTTTGGAGGTCATAAAATATTCAAGAACTCATCAGACTTTGAGGTAAATTGTCCCCTGATGAAAAATGTCAGTATTTTAAAGTAATTATAAATGAGCGTGGCCAAACTGCTCCACAGCGCCCCCTAAAGTCTGGGAAAGCAGTAAATCACAGACAATAATTAAAGAGGTATGGCGCTACGCTCTAAACGCCACAGGAAGTGTGTTTATGGGTGAAAAAGACCAAACCTTTGGATCCTGAGATGTGTCCGTTTCTTCTGCAGGTCCAATTTTATTCAGCCTGCTGACCTGCTACGGTTTGCTGACAGACTGAGGGTTCATCGCCCCCCCCACAGACTGACCCTTGACCTGAGGAAGAACCCGGGAGACCGAGACCCTGAGACATGGAGCGCCGCGCTGCAGAGCCTCCAGCCTTTCAGTCATCCGCTGGTGGAAGGCTGGTCGTCCACCGACACCATGGCGGACCACGTTAGCAACATGTGAGGGAGGGGGGAGCTTCCCAGGAAAAAAACGTCATCCCATGTTTGTTTTGACATTTGAATGTTTCTTTATTAAAGCCACGTCTGTTAGAGCCTCTGACACGCGTGTTTGTGACAGTAAGGTGACATGTTAGACAACAAGCATCGACACAACCAGCAGCTCATCCTACGTACAAAGCAAGTAGAAAAAAGGATCCAAAAGACGGCTTAAAAACAACTTTTTAGTTCCTGTTTAAAGCTAATATTAAAGATCTGTTAAATTAGAAACTCTCCTGCTTCTCTTCACCTGGTCTGAATACGTTGGAGCTGAAGACGGAGGCTGATTGGTTGATTGATTAGTCAGTCTGAACACAACAGAACCAGCTAACAGACCAAACAGGAGAGAAGATCAGGTCACCGACCCAGAGGGAGGTTGGTTTGGCCTTCAGCCGGTCATGGGTGACGATAACAAACACACAACAGACTATGTTTACGGTCCAGGACGTCAGAGCGAACCCTGAAATAAATAGCAATAAATTAAATCATTTATAAAAGACACGGTTAAAAAAACAAACTGTTAAATATAGAAAAGATCGGAACCAAACGGGTCGGTTTACTCAGACGGGACGGACAGATGGGCTGATCACTAGTGAGCTGATGGCCCCTCTGGGCCCACAGGTAGTGGGGGATGGGGGGGGGGGGGGGGGGGGGGGGGGGGGGGGTTGGTGGCAGTGTTGTCATCGTTGCTTGTCTGCGGTTCTGGGCGCACGGGTTCTAGTCAATGGACAGCACCGTTTGTTCAGAGGTTTCCTCCACAGAACCTGAAGCCGACCGTGGAGGCATAGGCATCAGCAACGAGTCGCCGGGAAGAACCCAGCCCCCGCAGGCCGGGTCAGATGAGCACCCCCCCATCAGACCAGCATACCCATAGTCGATACGCATGACGTCAGATTTACATACGTGGATGCTAGTCAGCATTCCCTGTTCATCCCTTTAATTGATCCCTTTAGTTTAGTACACTAAATACATTTTAAACTACGTCAGCGGGCGCATATCGCTTCGCTTTAGTCAGGCACTAAAAAACTATTTCAGGTCAGATACGGGAAGGTCATACACTTCAAAAAACACCAAAAGTAAGTAAGTAAATAGTTTTTTGTACATGACTAAAGGGATACACGCCTGTTGAGGTAGTTTAAAGTCTATTTTTCATACTAAATATACTTATAGTATATTAGACTATAGACTATGGTTATGCTGGTCTGACGTGTTGGGGATGCGTAGTGACTATGGTTATGCTGGTCTGACAGAACAGCGGCCTGCAGGCCATGGAGATGAAAGAATCAGGACCAAACTAGAAGCTGCTGAGATAGAATGAGGTTCTGGTTCAGAAAGCTCTAGAAACGTTACGAGGATGAGATCATGGATCATTTCAACCCGTTTAAAGGGATTTAACTCAAACACCTGAAGCTGCCCCCAACAGGAGCATCCAGAGCCCAGACGTCCAACCGAACCTCCTTTAGAACCGCCTCCACGCTGTGGTCCGTGTCCAGGACAGGCATGAGGCCATGTTCACTTCCTGCTTCACTGGTTGATCCATCCCACTGAGGAGCAGCAGGTGGCGCCCTGCTGCTCCTCAGTGGGATGGACTGGTTTGGCCGCCCGCCCCTCTGAACCATGGAGGAGGTTCCTGCAGCTGAATGTGGCTACATGGGATGTAAAGGCACACCCAGCACCGCCATGTTCCCACATCTCCAGTCTAAGGTTAGAGTTTCTGTAGGTGACATCACAGCCGCACCAACAGAAACACAAACAAAGCAGCCACGTTAGAACTAAGGCTGTTTCTGTCCTCACAAAGTAAACACGAATCCTCGGCAGCAACAGTTAATGATGGAGTCCTGCGCTGTGTGTGTGGGGGGGGTGATGGAGCAGGTTAAAGGCCTGGGGGGGGGGGCTATAAGATCCCGTCCATGAAGCTGGTGTCCAGCCGTTGGATGAGCACCCGGATGAAGGACATCTCCTTGCGGGTGTTCTCAAAGATCAACCTGGGATCGTCTGACTGGCAGCGCAGGCAGTTGGGGGCCATGACCATGGCCAGGTTGTTGACGTCCATCTTGGTAATGGAGACGTTGGCAGGTTGGGCAAACACCTGAAAGCAGAACAGAAGTCACTAAAGCTATTCCAGCATCTCAGCAAAGCTAAACTACAAACCATCATCTATGAAAACCCCGCCTCCCTGCAGGGGGAGGAGCTTAACGCCTAGGCAGCGCTATGAGACATATTTAGCAGTGAAAGGGAGCATCTGAAGGGGGGGGGGGGGGGGTTAGCTGATGGAGGCGTCCCAGTTTGGATGCAGTTTCCTACTGTAACTCCTGGGATCCTTCTTGTGGCCTTTAGAGTCTAAAGCTTCTACTAAAGTCAAGGTTTCAGTCAATCGTCCAGTTATAAAGCAACACCTCAGGCCAGATGCAGGTTAATGCTGAGGATCTGCATGAAGCGAAGCAAGAAAGGAATCATTGATCAATCAGTCCAAAACCAAAGCATCTTTTAAAGGCATTAATAGAGTTAATCTCTGTGGCTCTGGAAGTGAAACCAGCTTTCCATTTAACGACCTGTTACTGGACAGGAAGTCTCTGGCTGACTGCTTCTCTACTGTGTCGAGGAAAAGGTCCAACAGATTTAGCCCCTTTCACTCCTGATCAAAGCCAGCGGGGTCAAAAGTTCACACGTGTGTTACTTCAGTAGAAGTATAGATCCTGCAGTTTAAAAACACTTTGGTAAAAGTTGAAGTATCAACTTGACCTCTTTACTCCAGTAAAAGTGATTATTATTTTAGATAAAATAGAAATTTCCAAAAATGGCATCCTGTGCTATCAGAGGAGTTGACTCTGTATTCCTGTGCTATCCATCAGTAGTTAAAGGTCAAGGGTCAGCAAATGCTAATTCTGCCTGTTAAACAATGACAGCGTAATTGTTGCTGTCTGATCCGAAGCCAGCCTCATTTGGAGCTTTTAAACAGGATTTCCAAAAACTGATAATTTTTCTGCTGTATTACTATATTACCGTTTTTATATATATATATATATATATATAAAAACACTTTTACAATTTCATCTTTTTTTAAAGTGCAGCCTTGAAAAATAGTTACACACAAATATATATATGTATTTTTTTTTTTTTTAACTATCTTTCAAGGCTGCACTTTTAAAAAAGATGAAATTGTCCAGAGTGCTGTTTCCAAACAAATTTTCTTTTTGTTTTACACTGGTGTAAACAAAATGACAAATAAAATCTGTCTAATATAACAGATTTTTTAAGAATAAAAATCTAGCAGATGTGCATAATCAAAAAATAACAGAAATACAATTCTAGAGCAGTCAGTATTATAAGAAAGCCCACAATGTTTCTGAATAAATACATTATTGTATGAGTTAAGTTCTGATCCCTTTTTGTCTCTTTTCTTGTAATTTTGAAATGTCCCATGCTCCTGAATGCACCATAGCTGTCTGACGATCGTAAATGCATCTCACTGGTCTGTTTAGATGCGCATTTGATTTTCTGCTGAAGGCAAAGCTTTGCAGTTTCCAAACTCACGTCAGCATCACTGTTTATTGTTGTGTGTGAAAAACAAGAGACTAGAACAAATAAATCAGTCGCACCTTGGATAAAATCCTTGGATTTAATGTTGTTCATAACACCCGTACTTTTGTAAATTGATCTGCCAAATAACCGCAATTTATTCCCCACGAGAGCAATATTTAAACGTTTTTATATCATTAATGTAAAAACAATAGCTCCATTGGTCATATTTTAATCCCTTATCCTCGCTGATATGCAGCTGTACAGAGCGAGGCGCGCCCCCGCGACTGGGATGCATATCTAGCCAGGGATGCACTTTTCAGCATAACACCGGACCGCAGTCTGCTAATCCGTGACCTCTGCATTAAACCGAAACCAAGAGTTACTAGAAACGATTGATTTTAAAAATGTAAGGAATAGAAAGTACAGATACCTGTGTGAAAATGTAATGAGTAGAAGTCAGAAGAAGGAAGAGAAATAAGTAATTGAGTAAACTATAGATACCTAAAAAGTGTACTTAAGTACAGTAATGAAGTATTTGTACTTCGTTACGTGACACCTCTGACCAAAGTACATCACATTCACCCATTCATGTGTGTCTGAACGGGTGAATGTCTGACCTGCGGCTCTCTGACAGAAACCGGGCTGTCGTACACCAGCGCCCTCTGACCCCTCAGGCCCCTATGGTGGCTGCATTTCAGGCCCCTATGGTGGCTGCATTTCAGGCCCCTATGGTGGCTGCATTTCAGGCCCCTATGGTGGCTCCTATGGTGGCTGCATTTCCTCGCCGCTTCCTGACGGGAGGCGACCGATGGCGGCAGTAGGACCAGGCCTTACCTGCAGGAAGCGGATGAGGTAGCAGAGTACCAGCTTGTTGATGTGCGGCAGTCCCAGCACTACGTTGACGGCGGCCTCCGGGTTGTCATAGCTACTGATGCACTCCTCGTAGAACTCATGGGGGATCAGCGGCTCTTCCAGCTCGCGGTACCAGAGCTTCAGCAGAGAAGCTGGAAACCAAGCAGATGACAGAGCAGCTCGTTTGAAGGTGGAACGACGGAGCAAAGCCCTGATGATCCTCTGACCGTTTGGCTTTTACTCGCACTCACTTTGTCTGGGATTTTATACTGAACGGGTCTTAACTAGTTCTGTTTTTCGCATTTTCTCCAAAAGGTTCGGCCTTTTATAGCCGTTTTACATTAAGCTTGACGTTTCTACTCAGTGTCTCCTTCTGGAGTTCTGATCTATTTTATTTCATCTGTATAATAGTCCTACTCTAGTTCTACTTTAGCTGTAACCAGCTCTAGTCTAGCTCTACTGTAGTTCTAGTCTAGTTCTACTTTAGCTGTAGTCCAGCTCTAGTCTAGCTCTACTCTAGTTCTAGTCTAGTTCTACTTTAGCTGTAGTCCAGCTCTAGTCTAGCTCTACTCTAGTTCTAGTCTAGTTCTACTTTAGCTGTAGTCCAGCTCTAGTCTAGCTCTACTCTAGTTCTAGTCTAGTTCTACTTTAGCTGTAGTCCAGCTCTAGTCTAGCTCTACTCTAGTTCTAGTCTAGTTCTACTCCAGCTCTAGTCTAGCTCTAGACTAGTTCTACTCTAGCTGTAGCCTAGCTCTATTTTAGCTATAGTCTAGTTCTAGTCTAGCTCTACTCTAGTTCTAGTCTAGCTCTACTCTAGCTCTAGTCTAGTTCTACTCTAGCTCTAGTCTAGTTCTACTCTAGCTCTAGTCTAGCTCTACTCTAGTTCTAGTTTAGCTCTACTCTAGTTCTAGTCTAGCTCTACTCTGGCTCTAGTCTAGTTCTACTCTGGTTCTACTCTAGCGCTAGTCTAGCTCTACTCTGGTTCTAGTCTAGTTCTACTCTAGATCTAGTCTAGCTCTACACTAGTTCTAGTCTAGCTCTATTCTAGTTCTAGTCTAGTTTTAGTCAAGTTCTACTCTAGATCTACTTTGGTTCTAATCTAGTTCTACTTTAGCTCTACTCTAGTTCTAGTCTAGTTCTACTCCAGCTCTAGTCTAGCTCTAGACTAGTTCTACTCTAGCTGTAGCCTAGCTCTATTGTAGCTATAGTCTAGTTCTACTCTAGCTCTACTCTAGTTCTAGTCTAGCTCTACTCTAGCTCTAGTCTAGTTTTAGTCTAGTTCTAATCTAGCTCTAGTCTAGCTCTACTCTAGTTCTAGTTTAGCTCTACTCTACCGCTAGTCTAGCTCTACTATGGTTCTAGTCTAGTTCTACTCTAGATCTAGTCTAGCTCTACACTAGTTCTAGTCTAGCTCTATTCTAGTTCTAGTCTAGTTCTACTCTAGCTCTAGTCTAGTTCTAGTCTAGTTCTACTCTGGCTCTAGTCTAGTTCTACTCTAGCTCTAGTCTAGTTCTAGTCTAGTTCTACTCTGGCTCTAGTCTAGTTCTACTCTAGCGCTAGTCTAGCTCTATTTTGGTCCTAGTCTAGTTCTACTCTGGTTCTAGTCTAGTTCTACTCTAGATCTAGTCTAGCTCTACACTAGTTCTAGTCTAGCTCTATTCTAGTTCTAGTCTAGTTTTAGTCTAGTTCTACTCTAGATCTACTTTGGTTCTAATCTAGTTCTACTCTAGCTCTAGTCTAGTTCTACTCTAGCTCTAGTCTAGCTCTACTCTAGTTTTAGTCTAGCTCTAGTCTAGTTGCAGTCTTGCTCTACTATAGCCCTAGTCTAGTTCTACTCTAGCTCTAGTCTAGTTCTAGTCTAGCTCTACTCTAGTTTTAGTCAAGCTTTAGTCTAGCTCTAGTCTAATTGCAGTCTTGCTCTACTATAGCCCTAGTCTAGTTCTAGGCTGAATTGGAATTCATGGGCTGCGTCCTCTGAAGGTCAGATTCGATTACGTCATAGCGCGGCGCCGAGGTTCTGGTGGGATTCCAAGACTCCTCGTTATGCGGCCTTAAAATGCAAACTGAACCTGCCGAGCGGGTCCGCCCCATTCTAAAGGGGTGGACCCGCCGTCTGTAGAAGTTATTGACCTGGCGGGGTCAATCGGGTGTCACCCTGAGGCTCCCATCATTACCGCCGTCAGGAGCCCGCTCACGGTGTGGCTTTACGGGGTGTGATCACCTGGGATGTGTGGGTCCTCCAGTCCTGTGGGGATTTTCCACTGATCCACCTGCAGCTTCAGGGCGTTGACCTCATCGATGTCTCCTGGTACCCTGGAGGTCAGAGGAAGAAAACGATGACCGACTCTCAGAAGACGACTTACGGCATAAGAAACTGAATCTAGAAAGTTTTTATTTGATGGGAAAGTTTTAAGGCCCAATCAGAACCAGACAACCATCTTTGCAGCTAAAGCTGATGATGATGTCACAAACCTAGAGAACACAGTAATGACTTGATGTCCTGCCCTTCAGGTAATAAACCCGTCCGACTCTTCATGAACATCGGTCCAAACACCTTTCCAGATCCTTCCGTCCATTTTCTCCTCTGTTGTGCTCTTTTCTTACCTGAAAATGCCTTCGGTTTGGTCTCCGTTTAGACCCAGAACCTCCTCAGAGAGCCGGGTCTGGACCCAGGGCAGCTGGCGGTCTGGATATCGCTCCTTCTGTAGCGCCATCACCTCCTCTAACGAAGAGCCGAACATAGAGGGACTAAAAATGGCATTTCTGGCGTGCTGGATCTCCTCCAGGGAGGGCTTCTGTAGGCCCTGATGACACAGAACACCTTTGGGTCACATGGGCTCCAGATTAACACAGAACTAACAGCTAAAACTCACAACTAAACAATCAACGGGAGCATCTTCAGGTCAGAGGGAACCAACCAGAGGAGAAAAACACAGCAGACTTTAGGAAGAGCAGACCTCACAGCAGGAAAGTTGTGGTTTTGATTCTTAACTGAGGATGAGATTGCTGCCCACAGACACCGGCGTATTGGGATTACCACCAAATAAAGATAAACAAGCATATTTTACGATACATGCGGTTCTTGAACGTCCCACACTGGGACAGAATTGGCCAATAGAGCGCTGAACGGTTGCTGCTGCATTTTGCAGGTTTGTGCTGTGAAAAGGACCTTTTGTTTCATTGATATTTGCAGGTTATCCAGAGTTCTAATAAAAATAAAATAAATAAGCTCCTGGTCAATGAAAATAGGCTAAACAATGCACCTGATGAGCCTAAAATACGGTCATTATTCATGTTTGTTGTAATCATGATGCAATAGCTCATTAATGCTGTTTTCCTTTGGAAATGTGGAGGTAAGGTTAACCCGTTCTTACCTTCTTGGCTCCAGTCAGTGCAGCTTTCATCAGTTTCCTGTAGCAATATTTAGCGTAGCAGCTGATGGCGACTCCTGGAACGCATGAAGACAATGTAGCAAAACTCTGATGGATCATTTTAACATGAACTGAACTATGTGTGATTTCCTTCCAACACAGAAAGCCTCATGCAACATTTTCCTATTCTTGTAAAATTGTTCTTGTCTGGATTTTCCTGAAGGAGATCTACTGTTCAATAAACCTGGTTTATTAAACACTAGATCTCTGTCAGGATAGTTAAGGTCAATCTGTTTGATAAACAGATTAAGCTAAAGGTCAGTAAGATAAGGTATAATCATGCATTCATGATTATAGACGTTTGTCTTTCCCTATAAAATAAATAAAATGACATCAAATGATTTGAGCTTTTCAATCTGACTTTCAATAAGTTGATATTTTCTTTAAAAAGTTTGAAAGTCCAATGTGTGTGTGATCGTATAGAGGATGCCTAGATGGAAGCCATCCTCTGCATGAACACTCGTAAACAGCGATGTTTGTTTGGACGCTCAATGAAGATAGAGACATACAGACAAAGGCTATGGGTAGATATGGGATGTGGCGTGAATGTCCAGGAACGATTCGTTACCCTTGGTGTCATTAAGCGGGTCCATGTGTCTGTAGATGTATCCCTCCAGGTAGGCATGGAAACGGGGAGTTGGGGGGAAGAAGGCTAGGCAGATGGCCATTAGCTCCCACCCACGCTCTAGGCTATCGTATCTGAAGTTCTCTGTAGTTTGACGGCACAGCTGGATGTAGAGCTCATCACGCAGACCTTGGTTACTCCACCCCCGGACCACCACCTGAAAGAGAGACAGAAAGCGTAGATGTGTGGTCTTAGAGTGGGGCTAAAGGATTGTCGCCTGTAAAGAGTTGCAGGCAGGCCTCTATTTCTATTTGATCAAAACAAGATACTAGGTTCATTTATTGAATAAGTACAGTTACCATAGCGGTACACAGAACGTTATTCAGACATCTTCCAGCAGCTGCTATTTTTCTGCAGAATGGAATCTTGGCCAAACTGACTTGTGAAACAAAGTAAAAAAAAAAAAAAATTAAAGGAAACTGTTCTGCCATCACAGCGAAATTTTATTTGAGGCAGGCTGAGTGGAAGCAGGCTACCAGTATCGTATATTTCAAGGGAAATTCAGAACAACGAAGGCCAACGAAATTCTGTCATTGTAACGCTGCCTGGTTACCACCAGACCTACCGGTGATCACGTGTCTTTCGAATCAGAACGATTGTGTGGCTGGTTCTCCTCCTGCAGCAGTGTGTCGCAGTGAGCTTGATGCAAACATTTTTGATTTATGCTCAATACTGAAGCGTGGTCTGCGCTACACGCTGTGGGTCTACATACGGCCGAGGCAGGAGGAAGTGGGGGCGAGTATTCGGACAACGGACGGACATGACGGCTAAAATGTGCGGAGATCCAGGTGGAAAAAGGGTCCCAGCGTTCTGGCGCACCTCGATCTTCTAGCTGGTCAAACTTCACGAGTTGTTTTCCACAATTTCGGTCATAAAAACAAAACAATCCGGCCTCCTGTCTGCGGCACTGTCTGCACTAAGGACGGGACTTCCCATGCTAACGGCTTGGATTCGTTAGCAAACACTGCCCCCCTGTGGTACTTGTATGTTACCATTACAAGTTGTTGAGGACTGCCCAGGAACATTGTGGTTCTAATTATAGCCCCGGCCTGTATTTACCTCCACCGACTGCCAGACAGGCCATTACTAGAGACCCGGATGCTAATGGAATACAGGCCAATATTAGAGGATTTACGGTATGTTTGAAAGTTCCCTTTTCGTTCATATCTCAAGCCGTTTTCTCATCAATCAATCTCTTCAGCTTAGCAGGTGAGATGTCAAGCATGCATGTTGTAAGAGAATGAAAAAGAGATGGAGATGATCTACTTCATTCTGCTCTCCACATTTAGAAGTGTACTGCATACCAACCTCCAGAGCCAGAGCCAGGGGGTCCGCTTTGGAGCGACGGTCTCCCATAAAGGTCTGAATGAGTTTGAAGATGTCCACAGCCTCCTTCTTCACGGCGCGGTCTGTGGTCACAATCATTGGCTTCTTGATGGGCTCGCTGCTCCAGGCCAGCATGTTGGCGATGGAAACTTTCCTCCTGAACAAACCCTTTGGCAGAAAGACAGACTGCGGTTAGTCTGATCCACGACCAGCCTCTGCTTCACAGGAAAACTCATTAATATCACTGTAGGAGAGAAAAGACCTGTTAGACAACCCCCCCCCCCCAAACACCAGACATCATTCAGACTGTGTTTTTAGGCTAAATCTGGTCGGTTCATCATAGTCTGGATTTAGTCCAAAAATCGTTGTTGAAAACTGGGCCATGTTTGGTTGGTCTGATTTGGGAACAGTTTAGTCTAATAATGATAATAGACGTTGAGAAGACGTTACAAACCCAGTTTTCAACGTCTTTTCAACAATCTAAAAATTGCGGCTTTTCACCTTTCACACTTCAACCAAATGCAGACATCGATCGGACGTAAATCATGTCGTCTTTTCAATATCTTTTCAGCCATAGAAATGACACATCTGGAAACAGAAGCAAACGGGGAGAAACATGAAGAATTTTGTTTTTCTTTCTTGGCTTTCTAATGAGGAGGACACTTCTTCTCTGTCTCCCTCCCATCTGTCTATCCTGCTTTCCTCTGTGTCTTGTCTTCTCTAGCAGCCTTTCCTCACATACAGTATCTTCCCAAAACCTACACATTGAGTTATAGATCTGGTCTCTCAATGCAGTTGATCCCATTTAGTCTACAGGAATTCAGAGTAAGGGGGAACTCTGCTGTCCAGGGTTCTGGCAGAGGAGTATGTAGACCAGACCTGACCAAAACCATGTAGACGTGCTTATTGGCGCACAGATAGAGTGAAGAAACACCAGAAAAGGGTTGGAGTTATCATCAGGACAAAGACTGAGGTGTTTGCTTTCCTTTCTGAAGTACCTGTGTGTGTTTATTGAAGTGCTTGGATGCCCAGTTCTCGATGTCAGTCTCTGATGACGGCTTTCTCAGGCTGAACTCTGTGAAAATGCCGCAGCTGGCACTTGGCATCATGTTCCTCGCATTTCGACTGGCTTCAAACTGGGCACAGGCTCCGAGGTCCTCCGACTATTGGCAACAAAGACAGAGGAAGGTGGACAGCGGCGTCACTTTTGACCATATAAAACCTGCAGCAGTAAGGTTATTCCTCAGCCAGAGGGAAGTGAGTGCAAAACACACACCACAGCAAAAGACAGTCATGGCCTTTAGTGTTCAAACTAATATCAAGCAAACATGATGGAAAATTGAAAGAAGAGGCCTGACCAAACAGGAAGGAGTTTTCATGCACCTTGAGACTTTAAGATCAGAGTAAAAATGCCTTTCACTCAGATTGATTCACAGCATTAATGGTTAAAAAGCTGCAGAGATACATCAAGCATTGTTTTATATTTAGCTTTTGAAGAATACTTGCTACGTAACTTGAGCAAGATGACTAAACCAAAGGTCAAAAAGCAATCAGCCTCTTGATGAGGCCGACTCCGCTCCTTCTAAGCTAACCTATCTGACTCTATAGCAGGTCTATAGACCTGGACAACAGCGAGCAAAGTTCCTCAAGGTCTTTGTGGAGAACCTGCGGTCGGCTCCAGGGGTTGGAAATGCTGCCTCTGATCATGATTATTGCCTTTCTCATGTATAAAAAACCTGCTCTGTACTACAGGCAGATAACGAGCTGCTCTGACTAAAAGCTTTGGATTTGGAGGGTCAGTCTAGACGGATGGTTTTGTCTAAATTTTACCCTGAACTTTTGGGCCACTGGATGTCGATGGAGCATTCCACCTGGATGACCACATTCCCGGAGAGGGGGATCAGCCTCCAAGTACCTTAACGCAGACGCAGCGGTTTCCCGCTGCGTCTGCGTTAGCAAGGCGACACACATCTTCCCTGACTTTCCTCCAGAGGCGGTAAATGATGCCAATCTTTCAAGATGTGTGTAAACGCCTAATGGAGGCTCGAGGCTGTGGTCAAACTTTTTCTGGGATCTCTATATCTGATATTCCGTTCGGATCCTGTTCTTCTCAGGGCTAATATGACTTTTTTTTTCAAATACTATACATTTATTTGCTTGAGAAATTGGTGTTGCCATTACTTTAGACCATTTAGTTGGCGATGGTCATGGAAACCGTTTGCTATTGCTATCAGGAATGAGCCTTGCATTGTCCAACTGGGAAACAATAATCATGATGTTTCTTTCCATGCGGATGATGTTGGGTTTTTTTACTGTCAAACCCTGAGTGTTCTGGTCCTGTTCCATTTGATCTGGTTAGGGGAAATCTATGAAGAGTGAATTCATGGCTCTGACTGCAAATGTCCACATAGAAGAATTTGCTAAAAATTCTTCTGCATTTACTGAAACTTTTGCCAAAAAAAGTCCTAAATTCATTATGTTAAGAGTAGAAAATAAAAAAAAGGACCTTGAGAAATGAAAGGCTTCCCATTCCGATGGTGGGCCACATACATGCAAGCGGAATCGCTTCTCTCCCTGGATTTTTGTATCTCTACCCAAATATAACATCTTTTTTTCAACTAGTTGACTCAGTGCTGTTGTCTTTTCTTGGTCTTTTTAGGCTCATAGAATATTAAAAATGAATCTGTGTACGTCTGAACTTGAGTGTTGAATGGGCTCGCCATGTTTTCAATATTATTATTGGGTTGGAGATGCTAGAGGTTTAGTTTCTTAGGGTAAAAGAAGGCAATGCTGGTAGTCCTAGAGAGAAGTCAGGCTGAGAATAACCTACATCAGTAGTTTTATAGTTTTGATCATGGGTAACTTATCATAGGTACAGTAGGCTTGTGCGATATATATCGAATATACACACAATAGTTAAAATGACTCTATCGCAACCATCGAATACAAATTAGCATGATGCACTTTAAATACATCATAAAGCCCTCCTCCAAACAGGATCATTTTCTCGCACACTACAGCAACCAGCAAACTAAATGTGGCGACAGCAGGTGTTTCAGCTGAGCGATATACGGCAGCGGTTTGGATTTCACGCTGTGGACGTGAAATCATTGCTGCAAAATGTACCAGTACAAATTTATTCCAGCACCTAGAAAGTCATCGGCTGCAGAATGAAGATTGTTAAACTCTGCATGTCAGCGTCTCCCCGCTCACCAATTAAAACCATCAACCAATCAGATGTGAAGCCGATGGCGTCGGCCTCGTCTGAAAAATCAATCCCATATGAGAGAAACAGGAAAGGATGGAGGGAAATCAGACGCTATTTATGACGTTATTTAATAGTTTATTAGATGCTCTAATAGCTGTGATGTGATGTTCACAGGTTTTACAGCCGTTTCCTAAACTTGGAAATGTTCTAAATTTTTCATCTAATAGATTGGAGATGCTCTGATGATGAGCTAATATTTAGACAGTATTTCCACTTTTGTTTTTATAATTTGAGATCATTTGTTTTTCATTCTGCATTTTTTTATTCTGCACAAAAAAAGCCTTTTTTATTTTCCATTTTTTATTATTGTGTTTTTGCTTTGTTTGTTTGCTGGGATCTTTTTAAAGGTTTAATTCTGACACCCAAAGACAGCATGTGGCAGAAAAGCTTTGAGCTGATTAAAATAAAATGTTTTAAATTTTTAACTGAAAGTTGGAATGGGTCTCTCCACGGCTCCCTTCCTGTCAGACCCATTAAATTGCTGCTGAATTGCTGCGTAGTTAGACTAGAATAGATCTGTGCTCTATCTCAGTTGGAGCTACGCTCCCCCCTGCAGGAAATCATCCCCACTGACTTTTAATGAGCGCTAAACCCCACGACCTCTGAGGCCTGATTCTCTGGGCTTTATTCAGCTCTCATCTGGTCTGGTTCTCCTGTAAAGGTATCTGATCTTCAGAAGTCAACGCTGATCCACTAAGTAAAAAACTGATGGTTTATTAGAACACCTCAGCACTCTGAACATTTTCTATCTAACAGCTTTTTGTTTCCCTCTACCCACCCAGGGGAGGCAGCGGTACCTGTGAGGGGTGCAGGTACGGCTCCGGGGAGGCCAGGTTGGTCTGAACAGAGAGGCTCTTCTCCAGCAGGGCCTGAGGGAAGCCCAGACGGTCAAAGGTGCTCCGTTTCCAGTGGTGGCAGTCGCTCTGGGCCAGGGCCTCGTCCTCACTGAATGCTCTGACCACCGGCCCGGGCAGGGGCAGCGGCACCGCTCCATCGCTTTCATATCCGTCTTTGGAGCCGCCGCCTTGGGTGACCCCTCCTCCCTGACCCGAGTCCCAGCTGCTCCTCTGCCTCATCATCTGCTGGGCCTCCCAGGCCAGCCGGGCCTGGGCCAGCATCACCTCTGAGCCTGTCCCCGGCAGCTCCTCCTTCCCGCAGCGCCCCAACTCCTGCGGGAGGGATGGTTTGCGGCTCTTACGTTTGCGGTTTCCAGTGGGAGAGAAAGCGGCCGACCCGGCTGTAGAGGAAGAGGAGGTCCATGACAACGAGTCTTCATACACAAACCTCTGGCCTCCCTCCCCCCCATCGCCGCGGTAGTCCAGGACTTGGCGGGGATCTCTAATGAGAGACTGACTATGCTGTAGGGTATAGGACCCCCCATATGGACCCCCGAAGCCTCCGTTGCTGCCGTAACGCTGCAGGCGGTCGGTGGTCTTGAAGCGCGGACTGGAGGAGGACTGCTCCACATACACCAGCTGCTTGACGTACTCCTTCCCTACAGGACTGTACTCCAGACTCTGGGTTTTTTCTGGACATTTCTGCCGGGTCAGAACCAGCTGTCCATAGGACGACTGGCTCTGCTTGGGGGAATGATAGAAGGGGCCCGGGGACTTCCTGGACGGCGACTTGTTTGGACCGTAGAGGGAAGACGAGTCTGATAGGTTCATATCAGTAGGAGGCTCTTCGTAGATCGGGGGGGGCTTATAGTCTGATGGAGGCTCCTCATACAGCGGGGGCTCATAGGCGTAGCGGGGTGACGGGGGCTGGGACTCGGAGGACGGACGGCGCTGGGTTCCACCGCCACCCAGCTCTGCCCGCTTCAGATAGGGAGACTGGCGACGGTCAGAGTAGAGAGCCGGGGAGCCGTTGGGTTCTGAGGGGGGGTTTCCTCCTGACGAATGGCGATTTCTCAGGGTACCGCCCCCTCCAGGGGTCGGGGATTCACAGGGCGAGTAGCCATTTCCCTGATGAGCCAAAAAGCTTGGCTCTCTGTCGGTCACCTTGATGAGCATCCGCTCCTTTGTTCCCGTGTTCCAGCGGAATGAGGAGGTCCTGGATGAGGGTCAGAAAAACAAACCCAGATCACTAAAGGCAGCAGTGACTACAGAGAGAGAGCATGTCAGCCAAACCCGGAGCTACAGAAGGTCCAATAAAACTGTAAATGCAGGAGTTAGGACCCACACATTGGTGACCAGAGATAACCCATAACTACCATTACAATGACCCCCAGTGAGACCCGCCATGACTCCAAAAACACTAACTTTTATGTAGCGTCTCGCTGGAATCGTCCACATTTCCTCCTCCACTGATTCCCTGAGGAACATCTGGCTGAAAAGATCCATCCTTTCATCACTGTGTGAATGTCCTCTGGGGCAAAACACCTCCTCAGCATGACACTGTCAGCACCCTACCTACAGCCAGGACGGTCAGTGGATTCATTCGTAAAAGACTGAGATAAAATCACTGACGGAGGAGGAAATATTCTAAATTATTTAAGGCAAAAAACAAAACAGGAATTAAATATAAATTAAATAAATCTAGTGAAAAATGTAAAAAGTTTGTAGATTTTAAAGGGAAATGCAGTCATGGTGGTTGTGTGGGGTGAGAGGCAGAAAGAGACCAGTAATACTTCAGAGGCAAAGTTATGGAGACTAAAGGGGTCGTTTTTACCTTCATATGAAGTTCAAAACCAAAGCTGTCTCCAACTATTAATGATTGTGACAAAATCTCCCAGTTTTACCAAAGAAACTTCAAAAACATAGAAGCTTGTGCAAAAAACCATATTATTTATATTGAACATAACCATTGGGTCAGGAAGATTAAGGTTTGTCTGCTGTCTGACACTACAGGTGCTGGTCATAAAATTAGAATATCATGAAAAAGTAGATTGATTTCAGTAATTCCATTTAAAAAGTGAAACTTGTATATTATATTCATACATTACATACAAACTCATATATTTCAGATGTTTATTTTGTTTAATTTTGATGATTACAAATGACAACAAATGAAAATCTCAAATTCATCATATCAGAAAATTAGAATATTACTGAAGACCAATAAAAACAAAGGATTTATAGAAATGTTGGCCAACTGAAAAGTATGAACATGAAAAGTATGAGCATGTACAGCACTCAGTATTTAGTTGGGCCTCCTTTGGCCTGTATTACTGCAGCAATGCGGCGTGGCATGGAGTCGATCAGTCTGTGGCACTGCTCAGGTGTTATGATAGCCCAGGTTGCTCTAATAGTGGCTTTTAGCTCTTCTGAATTGTTGGGTCTGGTGTATTGCATCTTCTTCTTCACAATACCCCATAGATTTTCTATGGGGTTAAGGTCAGGAGAGTTTGCTGGCCAATTAAGAACAGGGATACCATGGTCCTTCAACCAGGTACTGGTAGCTTTGGCACTGTGTGCAGGTGCCAAGTCCTGTTGGAAAATGAAATCTGCATCTCCAAAAAGTTGGTCAGCTGCAGGAAGCATGAAGTGCTCTAAAACTTCCTGGTATGTGGCTGCGTTGACCCTGGACCTCAGAAAACACAATGGACCAACACCAGCAGATGACATGGCACCCCAAACCATCACTGACTGTGGAAACTTTACACTGGACTTCAAGCAACGTGGATGAAGTGCCTCTCTTCTTTTCCTCCAGACTCTGGGACCTTGATTTCCAAAGGAAATGCAAAATTTACTTTCATCAGAGAACATGACTTTGGACCACTCACCAGCAGTCCAGTCCTGTTTCTCTTTAGACGCTTCTGACGCTGTCTGTGGTTCAAGAGTGGCTTGACACAAGGAATGCGACAGCAGAAACCCATGTCTTTCATACGTCTGTGTGTGGTGGTTCTTGAAGCACTCACTCCAGCTGCAGTCCACTCTTTGTGAATCTCCCCCACATTTTTGAAGGGGTTTTGTTTCACAATCCTCTCCAGGGTGCGGTTATCTCTCTTGCTTGTACACTTTTTTCGACCACATCTTTTCCTTCCCTTCGCCTCTCTATTAATGTGCTTGGACACTGAGCTCTGTGAACAGCCAGCCTCTTTAGCGATGACCTTTTGTGTCTTGCCCTCCTTGTGCAAGGTGTCGATGGTCGTCTTTTGGACAACTGTCAAGTCAGCAGTCTTCCCCATGATTGTGTAGCCTATAGAACTAGACTGAAAGACAATTTAAAGGCTTTTGCAGGTGGTTTGAGTTAATTAGCTGATTAGAGTGTGGCACCAGGGGCCATCAATTTTGAACCTTTTCACAATATTCTAATTTTCTGATATGATGAATTTGAGATTTTCATTTGTTGTCATTTGTAATCATCAAAATTAAACAAAATAAACATCTGAAATATATGAGTTTGTATGTAATGTATGAATATAATATACAAGTTTCACTTTTTAAATGGAATTACTGAAATCAATCTACTTTTTCATGATATTCTAATTTTATGACCAGCACCTGTAGAGCAAAGCGTCCCCAAGCCCAAGAGAGTATCGCAGACAAAGGCGTAAATATCGGTAAGCAGAGACAGCAGTAGCTTAGGGGCCCCGTCACTGACACCTGGTGGGCCCCTACGCAATTGTGGACTAGGACGTTTCTTTGCAGGTGTAATGGTGCGAAAAATTCCTTTTAAACCCACCTGATACTGAAGTGAAAAACCACATCGGACCATATTTATACCCCGACACATGGCAGATTTCACCATGATGGTGGGCCGTTTCAACACGACACCAATAGCAAAGCAGACACTTTTAATTACTATGTTAATAACTGTATAGTTCATTAGACGGTTGATAAAAAAATACACTCATATAAAATGTTTCAAACTGCAATAAAGATCTTAAAAGAACAATGTATTTGAGTATTTTATTTTTTAAACTACAACTTGGAATTATGGGTAATCCAGATAGTAGATTAAAACCATAACCGTTACGTACGATGTGTTAGCGACGATGGAGACCAAAAAGAGGAACTTAAGCAGATTCCAGAAGAGAAAAAGCAAAGAAGATAAAACTAATTTTACAGCAGAATATAGTAAAGTTTATCCATGTCTAGTGAAGGTGAAGAATTATGAAATGAAGTGTGTTTGTACGGGGCACGTTTCGGGTCGGTTGTCTGCGGCAGCAGGGGTGGGTGGGGGGGGGTGATGGGTTGTTGTACTTCTTATGGGGCCCACCCACACCAGAGCCTCCCTGATGTGTGTTTACTGTTCAGTAAAGACTAAGCTAAACAGGTGAACCGCAACATGTCTGACCTGTTGTTTACATATTTTCATCCCAAATTCTTCAAGATAAACTTTGGTTCTCAAATATAAAAGCGATGCTAAACTGTGATATCATTGCATCTCAGTGATTGTTTGTCTTTTTTTTTGTCCATAGTCGCTTAGTTTAGTTGAGTTTCACCAGTTTATTCAAGAGTTTAAATTAAATATGTTTGACCTGGAGCTGAATATTTTTAATAAACTCTTATTAAAAATACCCCAGTGGGCCTCAGCAGATGGCCGCTCACACTGAGCCTGGTTCTGCTGGAGGTTTCTTCCTGTTCAAAGGGAGTTTTTCCTCTCCACTGTCGCTGTAAGCATGCTTAGTGTGACGGATTGCTAACGAGTCAATGGCTCTGTTTGAAAACCTGGGCTGCATCCTCCAAGGACGCGGCCTACCTAGACTGGATCCTTCAAAGTCCTTGAAAATAAGGAGACCGGAAGAGTTTTGGCTGTGAATTCAAACAGGTCTACCCTTCACCGGGTTTTACCGCCATAGGCTATGTTGCTTAGCAACAGTGATAGTTGACACGCAAAGCAGGAAAAGAATGAATACCGAGGTTTTCAAAACTGTTTCTTTCTTTCTTTTTTATTAAGTGGAATAAAGGTTCCAACCACCGGGAGCAGGAACCAATCAAATGTAATGATAGAAACCTTAGTCAGTTAAATAACCTGCTGCTGTCATTCTGCACATCTCTGATGTTGCTGCTATTTTCAAATATCCATTATTGTAAAAATGTCCGTAGCTGCATGTTGGTTATTTATTCTCCAGTTTTATATTGTTAAAACACTTTACAGTATTTTATTGTTTATATTTTAACTCTTCCCTATCATGTTATTCTTATACATTTTTCTAAGGTCCTCATCTGTGTGACCATTTTCAATAATCTTTCTGCTGCTGTAAATTTGCCCATTGTGGGACAATAAAGGGATTTTCTATTCTATAAAAGGGTTAGAAATATATAAGTAAATCTAAACAATGTATTTATAAAAAAATATATCTGCAAAATCTCTAATATTCAAAAACAAAAATTTCTTAGTTAAGCATATTGTGCAAAACAGCAATAAAAAGATAAAACTCCTATCAGATTTATAGTCCCCACCCTGCAGATATATTAGAATCTGTCCTTAAATTCCAGCCAAACCCATTTACACAGTAACAGATTAAAACCTTTAGATAAACCAAACATTACCGCCACATATCTGACTCTATAACCATTAAAACAACTATTTTTCATTAATCTCAGAGGGAACTATTCACTGACTGGATTATATTAAACTGAACTTCCAATTTTCACCACTGTTCGGCGCCAAGTAACCTTTCCTCTGATCACGGCTTGCTTGGTCTCGCAATGAATCCTGGGATATCCAAGGATAGAGAGGATACATCGGACCTGTCCTTCAAATCGGGCTAAAAGAAGGACGCATTTTAAGGCCGCATAACGAGGACTCTTGGAATCCGACCAGACCTCGGCGCCTCGCTATGACGTAATCGGCCTTTGAATCCGGCCTTCTGAGGACGCATCCTAGGATTTCGAACAGAGTCAATGAGTCGATGCAATCAGCTGGTTTTCCTTAGATAGAAAACTTTGAATCAATCTGACTGGATGATCTGGTGAACTGGAAAGTGACCTGAGATGACATGATGTGAATTGGAGCTATAGAAATAAACTGAATTAAATTATATTTTGAATGGAAGTTGTGAATTTCCCTGTAGGGGAGCGGCGGCCTAGTGGTTAGGGCATAGAGCTTGGAATCCTGAGGTTCTGATTTCAAGCCCCACTTGCACAGCCTCCACTCTGGGT